TTGTTGCAATATAGGTACGGTTGTACGGAATGGCTTCGATTTCCCAAAGTTCGAGGGGTTTTGTGTGTGATTCCTCAAAATTAGGAAGTTAAAATGAGATGTATGTATGTATGTAACCATATTATTATAGGAGCGGTGGGCACATTAACATGTGCCCACCGTGGGTAGGTGAGCATTACTGATTATTATAGTATGCTTTAATTTAATTATCTTGCCATTTTTATTTCATCCTCATAAATGCCCCTATATATATATATCATCCACAGTTTTCAACATATAGTTTAGCTGTTTAGGCATTAAAATTGAAATACATATATAGTAGCACGTAATTATATTCCACCATATTAATTACTCAATCAATCAAAAGTCAAAAGTTTCTCTCTCTCTCTCTCTCTCTCTCTCTCTCTCTCTCTCTCTCTCTCTATTTTTTTTTTCCATTTTTCATTTTATATTTTTTAGCAGCCATGCGTACGGCCTGTATTCGTACGGACATAAATGGTTAATTAGGAAGCTAATTATCAGATAATAAAACCAAAGAATCAAAATTCAATTAATTATTTTTTGTTTATAATAAGAATTAATATACCTGGAGATGGCTCTTGACATGAGAAATTTTGAGCCCTCTTACAGCCATCACTTGCATAATTCTCTTTGGAGTTGCTCCTGCAAATTAATTATCGGGAAATCGCATACATCGAAGCGTCTCAAATTTAGCTACGATCGATCAATAAAAATCGTATTATCTTGGAACAAATCACATAGCAAAATACCAATAATACGATGTTTATTTTTCAACTGCAGTACACGTTTATATACTGACCAAAATCGAATTCCTTACTAATTGATTTATAATTGAGTCGAGAGAAAGAAAAATTAAAAAAGAAAAAAAAGAATATCATAAATTAGTTACTGTGTTTCCCGCCGAGTTTCTGAATAGCTTCGACAAACCGATTATGGAGGTCAGGCGTCCACCGGAGACGAGGAGTCGACGATTTTTTGTACTCTCTAACCCTAGCTCTGTGACAGTTTTCCATTTTTTCTTTTTCCTCAATTGCACTATAATAATAATATGGATAAATATTGGATCATATGAAAGAGATGAAAAATTATATTTATAGAAACATATATATATATATTTGTAATTTGAACGAATGAAAGTGAATGGGAAATATTGCGGCTACGTAAGAGAAGAAGAATTTTTACTGTTTTTTAATGGACTTTTTTGCCAAGCTGTGTTTGACTTTTTGAAACATTCTGTCCGTTTTTTCTTTTTCCATCAACTAGTGTTTTAGAATTTTGGAGAATTTGGGCTCACGGTAATATGCTGTTCAGTTATAATAATTGCGTATTAAGGAAAAATATGATATATTTATTGAATACAATAAATATTTATATATATATATATATATATTTTTGCCTTCAAATATTTATTTTTTTGCCTTATAATGAGTCATTAATCCACATGATAATAAGTATTAAAATGTCTTATAACATTATCACTTTGTGAGAGTCGATATCTATCTATCCACATTATTATTAAATTCTATTTGCTACCATCATTTGTGATTATTAGGGCAAGCTCTTACTAGCTAGTCAATTTAATTTAGATTAAATTACATTCAAACACGATTTATAAACATTCGTTTGTTTTATATTGATTTTTATTTTATGTTTTTAAGAAAATGCTATGGTCCCGTAATTACGGTACCATTCTGTTGGGAGTTGTAACCGTTGGATCATATCTTATACTAACTAGATGTGTATCCAACGGGTAAAACACTCAACTGGATCCCATATTTTTATATGAATACTTTTGTCACGAATAAAAAATTGTTAGATATTCAACAAGATGCATGTTTAAACTCTGAAGCCAGCTATATAATCGTTTTAATGTTTAGAGGAGTCAGGAGAATAATTCAAAATTGTGTGGCAAACTTTTCATGAACACCACATTTGTCAAATTTTCTTACTAAATTTGGTAACCAAAAGGAAGCTTTTCCTGTCTAAATGTCTT